GGCTAGCTGTTATCCGGTTTCAAGTCTTTGTGCTAAGCTAAGCGACTGCTGACTCTAGCTTAATATTTAACGCACAGATATCAATAGTTTCATTTAACTCTTGACAAGAAAAGTATTCTTTTAACTACTTTCCCCACCAGTACGCCTGAAGGTATCAACTACTAAACCCCCTTCCAAGCATTACAGTGAACTAGCAAGCACAAACGATGGTCAGGTTGTGTGCATCTCAGCACAGTTCTCATGCCTCCTTTTGTGGTTTTGTTTTTTTCCAGCCTCCTTGAGCGCTGAGCAGTGATGTAATTGAAGCGGGAAGGTCACAGCGCCGGTTTTGTTGATGTTAAGTTTTGAATTTTCTCCCCCAGACAAGCACGCTGACACTGCACACTGGACAGGGGGAGCATGTAAACTGAGATCCACAACGCCTGATACCACAAGGACACATCCAGACTGGGAGCAATATAACAGATTCTACAATGGCTGGATAGATTACATTGCAAAGAAAATGTCTATATTGATAAGCAATTCACTATCAGTATTTAAATCTTAAACTAACTGAACACATCTACCACGTTTTTTAGCAACTGTTGGATGGATTTTCGTGACATTTTGTACAGACAATTGTGGTCCCTAGAGGATGAATTTCAATTTGACAAAATTTCAGTTTGTCCAATACTTTGATTTATAATCACATATTCACAAGATGAATGACTTTCCCATCAGCCTCATCTGCACTTTGTGTTTAAAGCTAATTTGCTAATGTTCGCTAACACACTAAACTAAGATGATGAACATGGTAATCATTATACTTGCTAAACATCACCATGTTAGCATTGTCATTATAAACATGTTAGCATGCTGATGTTAGCATTTAGCATGAAGCAATGCTACACTAATGTACAGCCTCACAGAGCTGCATCAGACTCTTAGTCTTGTCCCACTACTGTTACTTTACATGGATGGGTGGATGAACAGATTGTTTAATTATTACATAGTTTATTGATTTATTGTTTTATGGGCACATGGAGGGATGGCAAGCAAACAGACACATTGATGCTTAATAGTCAATGTTCTCCATCATGCACTATTCCTAGAACATGGTTTGATGGTAGACACTGCACTACATGATGTGTGAGTGTGTCTACGTCAATGGAAATTGGATGAAGTGATAAAAAGATCAGTGGGAAATTCATGATGAACTCATTCCTTCTGATCCTGTCATCACTGGATTGTATCGGTTCTTCCATATGGCCACAGTGATGTAGGGCTGTCAGTGGCCCGAGGTAAAGAGGTACATTTAACTGGCCCGACTTTCACAGAGACCATTTGTGGACTTCCACAAGGACGAGGAAATTATGGACGTGCCCTTAATTATTAAACAAGTGTGTCAGCAGCCCGGCCTGATGGAGGTAATGCAAAAAGGAAGTGGGCCAGAGAGAGGGCCTCGGGGATCAGGGGAGATAAGAGAGGCTGGTGGGCTTGGACCTGGGGGTGGGGGTGGGGGTGTGGTGGTGTTAGACCCAAGGGCTTTGGCTCAAGCATGGGAGATCCAATAATGCTGTCAAAGCTATTTTGCACATTGTTAACATTCAGAACTTACTGGCTGTTAGAGGTTGACTACTTTGCACAGGCATCTCTGTGATTTGGTTTTACATAGCAATAAAGCCAATACCAGAGGACACTTGTGATTTGATATAGAGTATTCATCTGATACCATGCAGGAACAGCTGATTGGGCCACAATGAAAAGGCCCTTGAGAAACTTTTTGGATGACGTCAGCAGGAATGGCATGGCATTTTTGGTCAAGGGATATGGGATGAGTGTCTGTCTTCAAAGAGATCGATTGGGGAATATCAAGTGAGCCAGAGGCCTGACTCAGGCAAACCGGTCATCCTTTGTATGTGTGTATGAGAAACAGAAAGCCAGAGGCAGTGAGGGGATGAGCACATGCTGCCACAGGACAATTGCATGCTGTGACCACTCATTCCTCGATAAGAACACATTTTCTAACAGCTGACAGACAATTTTTCATTCAAGGAAATGTGTTCAGGCAGTTGTAAGATAGAGCATAAGGGGGGGGGGGGGGGCATTAAGCTCGATGGAGGTCTACTACACCACTGACCGACAGTGTCCCAATTAGTCCAACAAGCTGATCAGGGATTACAAAGACAGTGGCTTAAACCACAGTTTCAATTACATGCTTCTCATTTGCATGTGGAGGTTTACACCTAGCTGCATGTGTTGACCTGAGATGTAAGTGAGTAAAGTGGCTTTTGCAAAGGATGATATTCTATATTTTTCAAAACCAACAATTAGCTGATCCTACTAACAAGTATTGCCTGTGTAGGCAAAAGCGTATATATCCTATTCCTCTGTGCCATAGAGCTCCATCCTTGTCCAACATTTTAAAACAAATCAGTGAGCCAAGTCACTGGACAGGATAACATGATGCTTTCTTACCATAAACATGCATGTCGTTAATTTTTTATTTAAGTCCTGCATACACCATCCTGCTGTTGTAAATACGCACTAGAGTGCCAAATCCTCTGCTGAAAATAGTCAGCAGGAAATGCACAATTTACTGAGTAAAACTGTTTGCTGAAAACTGTGTCTAGCTGTTTTAATAAATTATTCAGCCTTTTATAAAAATGAAACTGTAAATTTGTGACTCATTTGTAGATTATGTCTTCGGTAGGAATTAATGGGCTTGGTGGTACCAAGTCAGAAAGTATTTTGTTTGTTTTTTTGTGGAATTTGGTGACAACAAGAAACATACAGAATATCAGCAACCTTGCCCTTTAAACATCACTGACCCACAGGTGGTGCACTCAGTACAAACTAACCCTCTGCAGCAAAACATTGTTCAAAGCCAAAGGACTTTATTTCCAATTCTAGTGTAGATCCTAAATATTCCAGAGATACAAAATATGTCACGTTGCCTGTTGGGAAAATAGGTCTGAAATGATGCAAAAGACATTTAGAATATTTGGGATAACATGTTAGCAAACAGTTGCCTGTCACAGTTACGGAGCTACATTAGCTTAGTCATGTTTCAGTCCAGTATTCACTCTCTTTTACCTCTGTTTTGATCTCAACAAACTCCTGAGGGAAATATCTGACTTCGGTTGTTCCACTGTGTTCACCAGCTACTGGCCAACTGTGGCCAGTAGTTGATGCTGGGCAGGTAGCGTACAGTGGGTTTATATCAGAGCTGTAATGAAAATTGCTGCCTGCTTCTGCCGGGCATGGGGTTGATGAGAGCAGTGAGACTAAACCAAAACAGTAAAGTTTAAATCAAAACAATGAGCTGAAAGACCATAAAATGCTTCTAAGCTGAGGTGAACTGCAGAGTCGGGTGTTAACTCTCTGCGGGTTCATTACTGCAAGCAAAATCTTTCACATTACATAGTGATTTATTCCATTGGTAATGTGAAAATATTGATTGGTGTGGCTTTAAAAAAAACGCTCACTATAAATGGTGATGGATGACATGGAAAAAGTAAACATGAGCACGTAGGCTGTGAGTTGTTTGGATCTTTGAATCCCTATGTGTGCACATGTAAGTACTGAAACAAGAGAGAGAAAACTAACAAAAGCAGGTGTGATATTCTTTGCTGTGACTGAGCTCCTCTTCTGTGTGATGCTCTGTGCTACTACAGTTCAGTGGAGCCTCACAGCACTCAGGAGAGGAGGAAAGAGAGAGAGAGGGAGAGAGAGAGACAAAGCCAGACAGAAAGAGAGAGTATGTGTGTGCAGGAAGAGTGGGACCAGCGCCAACTCACCCCACCCTTACTGCTGCTGCCTGCAGAGTGAGGAGTGCTGCATTTCCTGAGGGCAATGCAGAGGACAAGGAAGAAGAAGCGCATTTCTAGTTAGGGTCACCATACAGAAAAACAGAGCAGGGCTGCAGACACAGACAGCCTGTGGCGGACAGAGAAACTGAGAGGAACAGAGACACAAAGAGAGAGAGAGCTAGAGAAACCAATGGACAGAAAGGGACAGATGAGCTGTAGCATTCAGCGTGATGTCTAATGTTCTCCACAAATATTCAGCTTCACGCCATCAGAAGTGGAAATGAATCATCTCCACACGCCAAAGATTGCGCCCACATCTTTCAGTTTCATGTCTTGATTTGTCCTGTGACAGTTCTAGGATTGGATGAGTTTGTTTGTTGGCTGTTTTAGGGGCTACTGCCCTCGACAGCTGCACGTATTAGATGTACAAAGACCTTTTCATTATGAGGTTTCATCTCACATGTAGTCAAAATCACAATCTCAGAAACAAGTTGTTTGAGAGTATGCTTAAAAGGGTTATTATTCTAAGTAAATAGATGGTTAAACCTTTTTTTAAAGTTTAGTTGAGACAGAAAATTATTCTGCAACTATTTTGATAACTAATTCATATTTTTATAAATTTTTCAAGCAAAACTACCAAACATTCCCTTGCTGTTCTTTGTCTTACGTGATAGTACAATCAGGATGGACAAATAGAGCAATTTGAAGACATTTCCTTTGGCTTTAGGAAATTGAGGTGGGCATTTTTCACTATTTTCTGACGTTTTAGAGATCACTAATAAAAATAATTTTTTGTTGCAGCCCTCATAACCTTATAATTCCACAATAATTCCACACTCAGCAAATGCACAACACCTCAGAGTCATGCTCAGATGGTCTTGATGATGTGTCCATGTGAATACAAGAACAAAGAGAGTGAGGAGGGGAGCTCTTCAGGCCCCTGAGGTGTGTAAAAACTTGGAGGGAATGACAGAGGTAAGCGGGCTTCTCTTGGGACAGGAGGATTAGTGTGGAACCATTACCTTAGCCCTGTGAATCACTGCTAATGGCTTCAGTGAGTACAGAGTTAGGACACATTTCAGATTGAGACCTCGAGTTCTGTAACAACACACACTGCAGCATATTTCTCCTGTTAGCGCAGTGCAGAACAGGCTGTGACAACTTAGTGTACAAGATGGTTTTATTTATGTAGCTTTTTGTGCAGGTCCACATTGCAGATAAACACCCCAAACCCCAAGCCATAATGATCATACACCAGCAGATCCTTAAAAATTTATTGAAGTTAATGTAAATTATAAGTGATAGAAGAAAAACAAAAACAAATAACCCTTGCATAGATCACAGACCATGCCTTTGTCATCATCTGACAAACTGAACACATTGCAGCATAATCCTTTGGAAACATAACATGACAATGACGGCTGGATTGGATAACACAATCAGAGTTTGGTTGGCTTGTGGATGAAAAGAAGAGCAAAAGAGTTCAACAGTCCTTTTTGCGCTTTGCTCCAAAACTTTCCTGCTAACGATTAAATGTGCATTCTTGACAGAAAAAAACAAACTCATGGCCATCACACTTCTAACGTCATATCAACAATCACCTTTGGCGAGTGAGGTACACAACATCCCAACATTTGATCTTGTCAGTGCCTCCTCAGCAGGCAGAAAGCAGTCCGAGACCTTCAGCAAACAAGAATGCCTTAAAACCAATGTAGTACAGAGGAGGGTGTGTGGCACAGGCCCTGCTTAGACATGATGGGCATGGTTCCCACAACACAGTATCACTACAGTCTAGACTGAGATGACAATAGGCAAAATGTCAGTTGAAAGAGCGTTTCAGTCCTAGAATAGAGATAAAGTTTGAGAAACTAGCCCTTAATGTCCTTGCTCACATTCAGAGCCTAGCAAGCACAACCTGAAAATCACAAACAGACGCTGAGTGCGGCTCGGATACCCAACATCGACTTAGTGATGAGGTCAGCGCTAAGGTGCTTTTAAGAAATCCAGCAGAGGACACGTTTCACGACAACTTCTGAACAGGGCCTTCCAGGAAGCCTTGGTACAGATGAAAGCAAGGGTTTCTTTTTTTTTTAATGATGCAACTGTATTATAGTTGATCCACTGTTTGAAAGGCAAAACTCATGCAGTCGACCATGCAGTTTTTTGCGATAAGTAGATTTCTGTAGAGATACATTATAGCAGTAGGTTCAGCAGTGGAGATTGGAAAAATGTGAATATGGTGTTTGAATGAATCCAAACCATATGTTGTTTTTGTTTTTTTTTATAATAGTACACTTCTTGACCATATCATTTAGTGTATAGCAATGGATCATAATACAGTAGTTTCAACATCATGACTTGCCAAAGGGACATATTGTCTTTGATATTCCATTATATGGCATGTTCTTCCTAAATCAGTCATGTTACAGTGACAAAAAATAAAACAGGAAAATAAAAACACACATTAAAATAGTTTTTCATACGTCATTGCAGTATATAGTGGTTACTTTTCTTTATCTTATTGTAGCTAAATTGCATTTTGTTCCCATGACATTTCATGTTTTTTCTCATACTTTAATTAGGTTAATGTCATTCTTTAGATCTTGTCTCTCATGTTTGTTTGCAGAAGCATAACATCTAACAGTAAGCTAAACAAAGGAATATGTAAAACATTTTAGGCACCTTCTCTGACTTTCTCTCACACAGCTGATCAGTCCGACAGACAGAACTGATGATGGATGCTCTCTCTAAGTGAATTATGGGCTCTTCCTTTGGGACTGTGTTGTACGTTCAACTGAACACTTCAGCAGCCTTTGTTCCTGACTGCAAAACAACTCCAGTCCAACCTGGGTGGTTAATGGGGACTGCCACTATTACAAAGCCTATATTTGTATTTTTCACGGGGTTCTCTCAGTAAAATATCAGCCTCCATGTTTGACCCCACTGACCTTACAAAATCACATAACAGAGGGTGAGACATTAGTACATAAACAGCCCTGTTGCAAGTTCTCTGTCAAGTGATAGCAGTTTCTCTTACATTCAAAATACATTTGTTTTCCTATTTTTACAAAAGCATCTAAGAAGCAGGCGATCTGTTATTCTATTGCTGTTAAGAATGCATGTTTCTTTTGTGTAATTGAATGCATAGCACCATCCATACATACCTTTACAGCAAGAGTAGCAGAAGCACTGCTAACATGAGGGATACCATTTGTATTTTCTTCACCTCACTATCGGCTGTTTCCTGCATGACATGTTACACACATCAAGCATCAGTTGTACGAGAAACTTGTGACTAAAGCAAACAATTTCCTGATAGCTGCATTTATGAGACTTCTATAATTACCTTGTATCTCTCTATATAGTAATATAATGTATGGTATTGGGTATTATTTGTGTCCTTCTGCATGAGAGACCATATACAAATTTTAGATCCCTGACACAAATGTGTATCTTTTTTGCTCTCACGTTAAGCTACTGACAACTAGCAAGGCTCTTGAAATTGTACCTCACCTGAGGCAGACACTCTTCAGCAGTACAGTACAAAGATCAGTTCCAAATAAAATGACAAACGTCATTACGATTGGTCGTAACCAACCAGCCACCAAAAACAAAACAGGAGCAAGGATTACAAAATGAAAAAAGTTTTGTCCAAAACAATTAACAAAGGCTTACATCAGCTGATGCTTCAGATAACGTGTGATGGAACAATACATCAATGGTAGTCCTTTACTAGCACCACAAAGGATAGCCATTGCACCAACAGAAATAACTATGACATTCAAGACAAGTACAGGACCTTGTCAGGGGAGTGCTAAATTAAAAAAGAGCATACAGTACAGTACAAAATCTTACTATCATTTGGGTGAATTCATCTCAATGCTGAGTGTAAATTAGTGTACAGTAGCTAGAGATGTTCAAGTACTTATTACAGTTTCCAAATCTATCTGCAGTTAGCCTGTCTGGAACAATATGCTGAGAAGCAATGCACTAGTTATGAGCACAGTGAAAAAGTAAAACAAATTCACAAGCAAAATAATTCAGGCTACAGAACAAAATCCTTGTGCAAAAAGACGGGCGTGTGTGTGTGTGTGTGTGTGTGTGTGTGTGTGTGTGTGTGTGTGTGTGTGTGTGTGTGTGTGTGTGTGTTTATGTGTGTGTGGTGTGTTGAAACACATTCAGGTGTGTTTCTGTGACTCAACAGTAACTTTGATACCACTGATTCAAAGAAACTAACATATAAAACAGTCGATCTCATCCCGTTAAGAGAGTCAAGCAATCTCTACAAATGAATGTTCTGATTGTGCGTAGCTTTAAGTGAAAAAAAGGAGCAGGATTGTACACTATTTGCCTAAGTGCTTGTGTAAAGGCTATGCTTGGGACTCTCACATTCAATGTTGCATGAATGCAGTTTACACTTAAGGTTCCATTTTGCATTATGGTATTGGAAGCCCTGCATTGAAGCTTGCAGCTCTGCAGCAAGTTTGCAATGACCTCACTGAGGTAGAGACCCTGAAAGGATGCATGGTGCACGAAAAAAAAAAACAACAAACATAAATAAAATATGTTTAAGACCTATGGATATTCCCTTTTGAATTGAACTGGTAAACATGCAGAGTACAATACATTGCTGCTTAAGGGCATAATTAAGTGCGTGACAGCATGAAAACTGTGTTGTGCATAACAGCCATGGATCATCTTTTCTTTTTTTGACCACAATCACCTACTGTTTCAACCTTGCTCATCTGGCATTATTAACATCAAAACCAACTGTGTATCAACGCTAGAACAGAAGGTACACCTGCTCAGCTCAACCTCACAAATCCCCTTGTACACAGAGGCACTATCACTGGTCCTGTTGGTGAAAGGATAAAGGCACTAGCAACTAATGTCAGAATAATCCTCTCTAATATGAAGTGAAATTTGGTATTGATCCTTTTTTTTGTAGATTCCAAACCAATATGTATTCAAATTGACGTGTAAATGGATGCATGACTAGCGAAATGTGTAACTTTTCTTGTTCAAAGAAGGTCCATGCACTGCACTATTGACATAATACTGTAATTGGTGCTTATTATGATTATATGCATTTTTGATAATATTTATTCAGTTTCTTTGACTACTTTTTAATTAGAAACTCTGCATCCTCCAAGGTGGGTTTGGATATATTTGATCGCAATTCAGAAACATCCAGAGTTTGATTTCCTTAGTTTCCCTGACAATAGGGCACTGCAGAGTGCCTGAATTGCAACAAGCTGTATACTCGTGTCATGCATTAAATATACCAGGATACAAAAGTACCTTAGTCAGTAGACCATAATGCAGGTTACTTTTTTCATGCTATGATCTCATTTATGTACTGTTCCCTTAAGATTTAACATTCAATGTCTATACTTCTAAATGATTAACATTTCAAATTAAAAACTCATCCAGTGCACTCAGTATGAAAACAGATGAGAACGGGGGATGGAGGTAGATATCCAAAAGAACATCCTTTCCATTGTGTGTGATATGTCTCATGCATGCCGTTATCAAAATGGAAAGTCTCTAATCATGCTCATGTGAAGCTCACTTTATCATTGTGCTGTGTTGCATCTAAAGGGCATGGCATTGAATCACTTGGTGATATCACAATTATAGCATCTGCTAGAAAACAGCAGCATTGCGGATGTCCGTGAAGCGTGTAGATCACCATCTCTTTACATCCAAACAAGAGAGATCAGTCTTCCTCCTATAAGGTGCTTTGCTGAACAGTAGATCCTTTGTAGGGAGAGAGGAGAAAGGAGGAGGGGTGGCGGGGGTCACCTAACATCTTGGCGCTTACCACTTGGCTGCAGATGCTTGCATGTCTCTGCAGACTTTTCTGGTGCATTGTGCAACTTGCTGAAATGTTATCTGTACTCCATGCATAAGATTTTAATTATCACGCGGTCATCTGATAAGACAGTGTGTGCTCTGCGTCCTCCAGGGAACCGTGTGTATGTGTAATAATTGATGTTTTCTTTTTGATGTACCTATATATTTGTAGGATCAGAAGAATTAATTATTCTATCTACCTGTCACATACCCTAAGAGCTTTTTTCTGTTTCCTTTCTATATAGCTGAGCATAGCTGTAGGCCTATTGCCACAGAGCGCTTTGGGGTGGTAGATTAAGCATTCCTAACTGATGGTCTACTCCATATATGACAGTCCCATAGAGATCCCAAAGTTCCTAACTAGTGTCTAAACATCTGTAAGTAGCTTGCTTTTATTTACACAGTTTTGGTTGGCTATAGTGCAATTGCCAGTTCTGAGGTTAGCCTCCCTAAAGTTGTCGATGCTATTGTTTATGTCTCCATCAATCTCCATGTACTCTGACTTGCTGACGGTGGATGAACTACGGCGACTGGAGTTGGTTTCAGAGGGGATGTTGGGATTGCTGACATTGAGCAACTGGGCCTGCTCTTCTCCCTCAGTCTCCCTGTGGTAGAAGTAGTTGAAGTTGGACACAATGACAGGCACTGGGAGCGCAATTGTCAACACTCCAGCAATGGCACACAGAGATCCTACTATCTTGCCTCCTATAGTGACCGGGACCATGTCCCCATAGCCCACAGTTGTCATAGACACAACCGCCCACCAAAATGCATCGGGGATGCTGCCAAAGTAGGATCCTTGCTCCTCTGCCTCAGCAAAGTAGACAGCACTGGAGAACAAGATGACTCCAATGAATAGAAAGAAGATCAGCAATCCAAGCTCTCGCATGCTGGCTTTGAGGGTCTGCCCCAAAATCTGCAGTCCTTTGGAGTGGCGTGACAGTTTGAAGATCCTGAACACCCTGACCAGGCGGATCACCCTGAGTATGGCCAGAGATGTTGCCTGCTCCCCCACTCCCTCTTTTTCTGGGTCTTCAGCCAGCTCTGTGCCGAGTGTAATGAAGTAAGGGATGATAGCCACTATGTCGATTGTGTTCATCATGTTCTTGAAGAAGGCCGGTTTGCTTGGGCACGCCAGAAAGCGTACTATCAACTCAAAGGAGAACCAGATTATACAGAGTGTCTCAATGACAAAGAAGGGGTCAGTGAGGATATTTGGCTTGTAATACATAGTAGTGTTCCCAACTCTCACTATTCGACCTGCTGGGTCCTCTTTCAGCTGTGGTAAAGTCTCTAAACAAAATATGACTATTGAAATCAGGATTACCATCACAGACACTATGGCAATCCCTCTTGCAGGGCCTGAGCTTTCTGGGTGCTCGAAGAGGAGCCAAATCTGACGCTGGAACTCCTTCTCTGGTAAAGGACGCTCTTCCTCCCTGATGAAACCCTCATCCTCACGAAACTTCTCCATGGCATCCACTCCCAGCTCATAAAATTTTATTTCTTCTGAGAACATATCCAAAGGGACATTCACTGGTCTTCTCAGCCGACCCCCAGACTGGTAGTAGTATAGGATGGCATCGAAGCTGGGGCGGTTTCTGTCGAAGAAGTACTCGTTTCTCAGAGGATCAAAGTACCGCATCCGCTTTTTAGGGTTGCCCAGCAAGGTTTCTGGGAACTGGGAGAGAGTTTTCAACTGTGTCTCAAACCGGAGACCAGCTATGTTGATTACCACCCTCTCGCAGCATTCATGGTCATTGTGGTCTGGGGGGTAGGTGTCCTGAGGGTGGCCAGGGACAGCCGAGGTCTCGTCCATGTTATCGCCTGCTACCACGGTCATTTTGGGAGGAGGAGGAGGTAGAGGAGGAAGTCCAGGAGAAGTTGTGTTGGGATGTCGGTTAGTCTGACTGAGTGGGCATTCAGGTTTGGGGGAAATTTTCCACTCCTCAGCTTCCCACACCCCTTAAACTGTTGGAGACGTCCCCAGAAACGAGGGGGCTGGCTGGCTGCTTTGCCTCAGTGCGGCTCCACTGCGGTTCTCGCTGACTTGACCATTGCTGCTCTCCAGTGCATCTGCTGCTGTTGTTACTGCTGCCTCTGTCACCCAGAGAGAGAAAGAGAAAGAGAAAGAGAGAGAAGGAGAGGGAGAGAGGGAGAGGAGGAAATAATGGGATCAAACAGCCCAGATATTTGCTGGCTCAGCATTTTCTGCAGTTTATTTATTTATTTACTTCTCTCAGCCTGCAATTAGTGCAGTTATCCAGTAGTAAAGGTAAAAAACATTACCCCAAGGAGAAATTTATGACATTTCTGTAATATAGGGATTTACAGTGTCTCTGTAGTACTCAGTACTGAGTAAATGATCATTTCTGCATTATCTTAAAATTCCTATTGGTGTTTTTCTGTTGCACTTTCATCTTTACAGATGTTGTCTTTAGTTTAACACTGAAATACCATGGCTCTGTGCATGGTGCATGTGATCTATCCTATGCCACTATAACCAGCCTGAATTATAATGTGACGCATAACATCTGATACTGATATTATACCAAATCATGTTTCTACATGCACAAAGCCTGAAGGCCTATTGCAAAAGATGCAAAAATATAACTGAGAAATAGAAAAACAACACAATAGTTGTCTGTTATTTTTACATCAACAGCAGTTGTTGATAAACAAATAATCTAACCGATATCTATTGTACAACACAGCAGTTTCGAATCTTACCGTGAGTTGCTCTTGAAAGGTCTTGAATGCGTCTTATCCTCGAGTAAAATCATCCAACGGCAGGGCACCAGCGGGTGTCATGTGGCAACTTTACATTGCACCTACCCAGAAAAAAGCTTAGAGCCTTACAGTGTTCATCCCAACAGAGTCCGCCACAAAGCGCCCTCAAACATGTGTAAACGTCTTTAGACGGTGAAGCAAGATGAGGTAAAGCAATGCAGGTGAGTCTAATGAGGAAAGCCTGAGGTGGAAAAGGAGCGAAAAGATAGGATGGCAAAGCTGCAGCGGCGGCACCGTGGTGTGAACAGCTTACAGTATACCGCAGGAGAAAATCTTGCTCTGCAATTCAGGGGGGGAGATACAGTACGGGGCAATAAGCGAGCCGTTGACATTTCCAGACATCGCTGCATCAGCAGGAATCTGCTGCTTTTGCGAGGAGACAAGATGACGGGCAGATGTGTTTCAGCGCGAGAGAGTAGAATAAAAAAATCTAAATGGATAGTTGAGAGACAATCAAGTGCAGCGGCGAGGTCCCAATGTTTCCTCCACAATGTCAAGCAAGTTTTGTTGTGCATTTTACATGCAAGTGCCGGAGAGTTGAGGGAAAGCGAGGAGCGGAGGATAGGGGAGGGAGGGAGGGAAGACAGCAGCAGGAGGAGGAGTTGGAGTGTTTCGACGCAATGCAGACCGGCTCTACTAAAGCACGCCGCCAGAACTTCTCCATACACCACAAAAACAAGAGCGCTTGTGTGCCAGCACTGGCGCAATCAGTCTGCAAACACGGGCAGTGGGTAACAAAACCTCTAAATTTACACTGTGTAACATTTGAGATCGTCTATCATTAACTAGCCCATCATCAATTGGTGGGAGATGAAATCACCTTTTCATTCGATCACTTTTAGGGATTGCACGGGCGTTAGTTGGACGTGTCACGGTTTCAAGTCAGAGGCTATGTGACACCAAATTTCATTTAACAGTTTTCATAATGTTACTAGTGTGTTTGCCCTGCTATATGAAACATCACTTCAAGGGGAGTTTGCATCCAGGATGTGCACATCTCACATCCAATATCTCGTACTTTATGACACTGACTAAGTTATAATGTCTTGTCAGTCTCCACTCATCGCTAAATATGGCTCTAAAAGCCAATCGGTTTTGAGACAAATGCAGGAAATGTGGCATAAAGCAAGTATAACGCTCTGCAGAGGATGGAGGATCCGTTTCAGCACCACGGACAGCGCAGATGATGTATTCCCTTCATGGGAAACGACTACAAATCCCCAACACAAACAAATTCAACTGATTGCAATAAAGTATCATGACAAATAAGCAATAGTATAACCTATATTTGTCCATTGCTTTCTTTGAGGGCCTGTATGTATATGGGTGTTTTTAAGGGGCCTAAAAACACAGTGAGGGGCAGAGCTGAACGTACTCAAAACAACGTATCATCTAACTTTCTAAAAACTCACATTCAACACAAAATCATGTCATCAGACGTCATCAGTATAATTTGTTAAAATGTGCCTCCAGCCAAATAACCCCGCTTAATTTGTCACTATGACTTTTTATTAAGTTAATTGGTTTTGTGGCGAGACAATCCATTGTCTGGTTCTGCGCCTTTCCCCCATCATTCAGCACCACTCCTGATAAAGTGTATTGAACTAATTAATGGGCATGGATTTGAAATGTTCTCACAAACGACGTGCTGTTTGCCTTCTGTGAGTCTGATCTGTAGCATGCTTAGAGTGAAAAATAACGAGTGGCAGGCTACAATTTTCTGATTCATAATTTATTTATAAAAAAAACGATTAAGTTAAGTTAACATACATGTTTAAATTAGAAAAATAAATATTTTATTACACTTAAAATTCACTATGAATCAATGTCATGCAGACGTTGCATCGTAATGTGCTGGGCTATGTTGTTGTCTACAGCGAGCTCCAATAAAGTTTGAATGTTTGTAACAACACAGAGGTAAGTTGCGATTTCAACTTGGCATAATAAGCTGCATAAGAAAATGGAAAATTCAGAATTTCTAAAAAAAACGCAGTATACACAAGCTTTTATACAAATAAAGCGTGGTCATTCATAAAGCCTACACAAAAGAATGTTGTTGTTTCTTCTACTGATTATAGCCTACACACAATTTCCATTAAGTCAGACTGAACCTTTTCCAAGCGTTTCCACCGTGAGGTCTCTGTAGGCTACAACACTGGCAATGCACGAATATCCCATGAGAAATGTATCCAATTTTTTGGGAGAAGAAGAGAATCCCACACACGCTTCACTTAATCGTCTGTGTCCTGCAAGTAAGCAGAAAACAAAACTCACTATGTAAACATGAGGAGGTATGAGAGAGCAGTCAGGCTTCTGGTGAGCTTAGTTAACCATCACAAGCATCCGGATGCATACTGAGTCAAAGTGCATAATCTCAGGGGCTTATTACTAAATCAGACCAGGCCAGCTGCAACAGTGCAGAGATACTCAAGCTGAAGTATTCATTTTGCACACAGTAGAGCCTGAACAGAAGTGTTGTCTGCAGGAGTATTTATCATCCACGGAGTGGCGCTCAGAGCTCACTTGTTCTGGCCACTCTGATCAAATTCACAAGAAGCATTTTCCAAGTTCCAAAGAAAAATAAAAAAAAAAGTCAAAAATGTTTTCTCCGATGTTGCATTTTCAAAATTGTGAGAGTTTTATTTATTTATTTATTTTTAAATAATAGGCTATCATAATTATGAAAAACTATCCTGTGATTACATTAACGAATACTGAACCCCTTATTTTGAAAAACATGCAAAACTCATGATACAGTACCGCAGTACCCTGAGGGATAGAGCCTCAGTTAAATGCTTTACGCTGTACCCGTCTCAAAATAATCTAGACCTGACGACAACCAGTCTCCACAGTGAAGCGCATGGCGAACGCCAGACACACACACAGTGACACACACAGAGACACACACAAAGCCTCTATAAACCCACAGTCTGTCTAACTCTACTGCGAAAGAGAGATTCATGTCTTGGTTTGTGTGTCTGTGTCGGTCTTTCGCCGTGCACTCCTCCTGCACAGAGCTGGTGCGTCATGGGCGCTTTGACGCACAGCTGAGCTCTCCTCATTTAGTTTATTCAAAGCTTTGGTGCTTTGAGAATAGGCTACATGCTTTTCTTAACAGAAGAAAGGCAAAGTTGGTTCGTGCTTCTCGTTTCCCTGTGTAAACACCACTTAAGAGCTTCTTTTTATTTGCCTTAACTGAGAAAATAACTAGAAAACTCCAAAATGATTTTCTCTTTGGTTATTGTTGTCATATGGCTCAGTTACTGCTGATGGTATTTCAAATATTCCAAAAGTATTGCATGTACCCCAGGGGTTCCCAAATGTTTTCATGTGGGGCTCACTAGTGCACAGTTCCCCACCAACTGATTTTATTTAGCCTGCATATCAGAAAGTAAAAAATGTTGCAGCAGTGGGAGGAATCATGATCGCTTGTCATTTAGTGCATTAAATTGCAATGAAATTAAGCCAATGGTCATTTTAGTGGGGGTTATAGCATGAATATCTGAGGCTCCACATTTGGGAACCACTGTAGGAAGGGGCCTAAATTGTATGTCCAATGGAAGACAACTCACCAGAAATAAAAGCAACCTCCAACTGTTTTATACATCTGTCAGTTTCCCTGTGTATGTCTCCGGTGGGTCTACGTTTGGAAGTGTCAAGGTTTCCAAGTCGTCGCTTTCCTGATAGGACTCAGTCTTGGAGAGCGACTGGTTACTTTTGTTTGAATCACATTCACCAAAGGAGAGCTGCTGCTGTCCGCAAGTCACGTGTATGTACTGAACATTTTCCTCGTCCTCGTTCTCTCGGTGGTAGAAATAATTGAAATTTGACACTATAACTGGGACAGGTAAAGCTATGGTTAGCACTCCGGCAATGGCACACAAAGATCCAACAACTTTCCCCCAGATGGTGGAGGGATACATGTCTCCATATCCAACGGTGGTCATTGTCACCACAGCCCACCAAAACGCATCAGGTATACTTGAAAATCCAGAGTCGGGGTCTTCTGCTTCTGCAAAATAAACAGAACTGGAGAACAAAACAACTCCAATAATTAGGAAGAATATGAGCAGTCCCAGCTCCCTGAGGCTTGCGTGAAGCGTTTGGCCGAGAATCTGGAGACCCTTGGAGTGTCTAGAAAGTTTAAAAATCCTGAAAACACGGACCAGACGGATGACCCTCAGTATGGCCAATGACGCAGCCTGCTGACTGCTGCCCTGATGCTCTGCGAGATCAAGGCCCAGGGTGATAAAATAAGGAGCTATGGCCACAACGTCGATCAGGTTCATGATGTTTTTAAAGAAAGCTGCTTTACTGGGACAGGAGAGGAATCTCATGGTGAATTCAAAAGAGAACCACACAATGCAAAGTGTCTCCACCATGAAAAACGGATCTGTGAACGGACTGTGCGCTTTGCCGTGAGCACTCCCATTGGCGGGATTGTCGTACACTACAGAGACTTCCCTAAACTCGGGTAACGTCTCCAAGCAGAATATAATAATAGATATTAAAATAACCATGACTGACACAATGGCAATTATCCGTGCAGGTCCTGAACTCTCTGGATACTCAAACAGGAGCCAAAACTGGCGTTGAAACTCGTTAGTAGGCAGCGGGCGTTCCTCTTCCCTCGCCAAGCCCTCATCGTCTTGGAAACTCTCTATGGTCTCTTCCTCAAGTTCATAAAACTTAATTTCTTCAAGGAAAATATCCACAGGTACGCTTACGGGCCTCCGAAGCCGCCCTCCTGACTGGTAATAATAGAGAATAGCATCAAAGCTCGGCCTGTTCCTGTCAAAGAAGTACTCATTTCTCAGCGGGTCAAAGAAGCGCATCCTTTTACGCGGATCTCCCAAAAGCGTGGTCGGAAAGCGGGAGAGTGTTTTTAACTGCGTCTCAAAACGCAGACCCGAGATGTTGATGACCACCCTTTCGCTGCACTCCTGGTCCGCTGGTTCCAAGTCAGCAGCATCTTGTAACAAAGGAGTTACGACCACAGTGTCGTCGTGGTTCTCCTGGGACACCACAGTCATCTTTTTACCCCTCCGAGGGTAAATCCGCCACTCACCTCCTTGGTGCGTTCCTCTTGCCCTTTTGCCTGTGTGTCCTCCCAACTCTCTTTCTCATGCAGCCGCCTGAGATTCAGGCAAAGTTCCCTTTTTGCTCCCCAAGTCCCAACAGTTTTAGTTGCAGTTATCCAAAATCGTTGTGCTGTTGTTGATTTACACCGTCCTTTTGTCAGATTAGTGCCTCTGAACTGTCAACTTTCAATGGTGCAGACAGATCTCCACTTGCATAAGCTATACCGATGGCTATCATATTCACACCATTTTAAACTCCAAAGCCCTCCCCAAGTTGGAAGACCAGATGACACTTGCTGCTGCTGCTGCTGCTGTCCCTCTCACACTCACTGTGGCAGTGCGGTGATTTCAAAGTAAACGTGCAGCCTTCCAAATGTAATCTTTTAAGTTTTAATCACAAGTTAATGTTTAAATGATCCAGCACCAGTCTTGTTTTGTTCAGAGCAAGGTCCAATGAGATTCCCAGATCCAGAGTCAACTCAGAAAGGGAGCCTCTCACCCTGCAGGTCCCTCATTCATGAAATCATGGGGCTATTCTTGTCACAAGGGGAACCTCCAGCCCGTGTCTACTTTGGGTCATAGCCCACAGTTTTCAAAACCAAGAGTACAGACAAAGGTGACAAATAGATCCATCTGCAGCTATTAAATGTGCCTTGAAATAAATAAGACAAAATAACATGAATGCTTTGAAGCACAGAGCCTCATAACCACGGGCCCTCCTGGACCCAGCCAGTGGAAACTGCTGGCTTGACTGACACTTGAGTAGCCAGAGAAGATAGCGTCTTCAGGAAGCCACAGCCAAAATAACACTCACCGTTCATAGCACTTACACGGCTCAATTGTACAACTTGGAACACGGAGACCCCCAGAAGACAAGTGACCATAGTCACAGGGTCACTGAGATACTGAGGTGTAAAAAAAAAGAAACCTCAGCTGCAAGTACTTCCACTCTTATTAGTTCCTTATCAGACCCTGCAAATCCTCTGCAGTCAGGATAAAACGAGTGTTTTATCCAACACAAACTTAAAGTCTACTTTCTTTCACATTAGAGTTGAATAATTCTGTTACTCTAAGTTTAAAATATGTGGCCGGGTGTATAGAGTGAAGTTATGTGCAGTGCAGCATTGTGATCTATTTATAGCTTAGTTTTGTTCCACTTTTATTGCCTTCATTAAGCTGTATTGTTATGTCAGTCACTGCCGTTGTAGACACAGGAGCACAACAATAATAGCACAGGGGTGCTAATCAGTGTTACTAAAACCAACCTGGAAAGGTTGGCATTATTACGTAGATGCGGACAATATTTGATGCGGGTATAACATTCCATCGCAAACCTTTATGTCAGAGTGTTTGTTTTTTAAGTCAGGTTAACAAGCACGGGTTCCCAGAGGAGCATCATTTTGTTGGCCTTCCCATTATTGAACAAAGGGTTGGATTTCAGAGTCAAATGTCAGTGTCAGGACACGGTGCCGCCTGCTGCTAATGTGTTAGCATATAGCTTTCACCAAATGACTGTCTGGGTCAAGCCAAGGTGTCAGGCCTTGAGCATATCCAAGGAAACAAACAATAACAAACAAGCTGAGGAATGGACACATGGCTATATATATATATATATATATATATATATATATATATATCAGACAATAAAAAAAACATTTAAGCTTCATATAACTATCAACATCTGCAATAACCTCCATGTGTCACCTTAATTCTTAATTAAGTGTTATTTCTCTTTCATCTTTGTGGGATCAAAAATCTTATTTAAGCATATTAACTCTTGATTATTTAATATAATAACATGTATACTGGGTTGTCATGCGTGTTTGTGGTGGGTTGTGCCATCTATAAAAAAAATCCATACATTTTTATGTGAATATAGACATGCATGTATGTGCATACTTAACAGTGACTGCATGTAATGAGACATAGTCTGGGAGACACACCACAAAGCCTGCAGGGTGCATGAATGTTGACAGCAAGGAACTTCCCATTGAAGGGCTCAACCTATGAATGCAGGAGACCCCCACTGTAACAGGATACTGTGGATTCACTCACACCGAGAAAACATCTGCTTTCTCAGAATTTGTCCCAAAACATGTTTTGTGAAAATAAGTGATCTCGACTAACATTTATATCATCATGATTTAATAACTATGATAATATGATGATGAATACATTTAACAATCTCTAATTGTCACAATAGTATGATGAATACATTAGTTATGACTGGATTCTTTTTTAATTTCATAATAGATAATTATGATGCCAATATTAGATAATTATATATTTCAAATTGTGCTATAATGCATCGTTTGAGGAATGCTCAGATATCTGGAAACAGTTAATTTATTTCTTTTAAAGGAGACAACATTTATTTGCATTTTCATAAATTGCTCTTCATCCTCTTAAACTTGTCTTTGTCTAAATATAGACAGAATGAGGTTTCTTCCTAACCAATTACACACATGAGGTAATCACAGTAGCAACTTGTGTGAGTGGCTGTCCTTGGCTTTCCTCCTTCCGAACCCCTATGCCAAGTATTTACAAAGTGTGCGTGAGTGTGTATTTCTGTAAGTGTGTATCCGGCGTCGCTATTAGTACGATCGGTGAATGAATGTGTGCGTGTGAGAGTTTGTTATAAATTGAAAGAGGGGTTTTAAGAAGGTCAGCCGTGCTAGTCAACAGCTCCTTTGGATCACGTCGTTCTAGTTCCAACTACTCTGCTCGAAATCAAATAGGGGGCATTTGACCCAGTCTGACGTATGCTCTGTAGGGCTGGGGATGACAGCGTCTCAGACATGGAATGACTCTATAAAGGTAGCGCTGTATCTGGGAAGCCACTGATTCACGCTGCTTTACTTTTTAAGTCTACTGACTTTCTACAACACACGCCTTTGGTGTGAGAGACCCGGGTTCAGTTCCCCACTGTGACCCATACACCATTGTGTTCCTGAGCAAGACACTTAACCCCTAGTTGCTCCAGAGGTGTGCGACCTCTGACATGTATAGCAATTGTAAGTCACTTTGGAGCGTCAGGTTAATGTAATTACTTCTATACAGCTACTGGTTCAAAATGGGTTTGCACAAAAGAATAGTACTGTATGTAACATGAGATGATATAAATCCATCTACCACCAGAGATTTTTCCATAATGTTTAACTGTGGTAACTATCACACAAATATCTCTGGATGTATCAGAGCTCTTCTGTGGACATGTACATATGTTACTCAGTGAGTCTACTCACGCAGCGAGACTGCTTTATGACAGTATTGAATTTTACATGATTTTTGCATTAATGTGATGAAATTCTTTGATTCAACAGATAATTTATCCATTAAAAAATTTCTCAACTGATTATTCAGAAGAATCTTGACATCATGACATGTGCAGATGAGATAAATTAAGGAAAAACAGGCCTGCAGCTTCAGTGCTCCTTGCCAAATCTGTGAAACTGAACTTGGACTGATAGACACCGTTTTTCCACAAGATATTCCCTCAATTATTTACACTACCTTTATTTAATCAGGTAGTTTCTTATGCAAGTATACTTGTACTTATACTTATGTATCTCTTTTGCAAGAGAGACCTCTTGAGAGTACAGCAGATGGAAAGAAAAACAAACATAGCCAGACCATAAAGACCATAGTATTTTAGTCATCATTTCATATTCACCAAAACATTCAGTGAGCCCTTGTACAGGAAGCATCTTCATTTGATATGTTTCTCCACTCATTTATTAATGTTTTCCATTTAATTTGCCCTTGACTGTATATGGATATTGTGCACCAGCTGCATGCACTGCATCACATTTTCTCCACTTAAATGCACCCTAGAGTTTTTTTAATCTATATTCCTTACCTCCAGTCAAACCTGGGTTAAATTTGGTTGATAAACGAAAGTTTTTAGACAGCTGTTGTTGAAATGCTGTCAAAACAATGGTTATAAGTAACCCAAACATCTATCAACATTTATCTTTTAACAGAATGTGGTTGAAAATGTAATATTTCCCGTCTAGCCAGTACTGAATTTACAGATACCAATATCTATATTTAACAGTTTTTTAAAAATCCAAAATTGATATCAGCTGATTTTGTTTATAAATGCATGGCATTAACAAATGTTAAAATCTTAAATTTTGACCTTGATACACTATATTGCCAAAGGTTTTGGGACGCCTGACTTTAAATGTACATGAAGGTTAATTACATCCCATTCTTAATCTGTAGGGTTTAATATGGAGTTGGCCCACCATATGCAGCCACAACAACTTCAACTCTGCTGTGAAGGCTGTTCACAAAGTTTAGGAGTGTGTTCATGGGAGTTTTTAAACCATTCTTCTAGAAATCCATTGTGAGGTCAGGCACAGATGTTGACGAGAAGGCCTGGCTTGCAGTCTCCGCTCTAATTCATCCCAAAGGTTTTGGGTCAGGACTTAGTGCAGGCCAGTCAAGTTCCAATCCAAACTCGCTCATCCATGTCTTTATGGACCTTGTTATTATTATTTTATTATTAAGTGTTTATTTCATATATATATGTAAAACAGAAACATCCGACAAGAAAATGCAATCAAATTGCAAATCAAAATGATTAAATAACACAATAATAAATTAATTAATAATAATAATAGTTACAGCCAAAGAAATTTTTTGAGACGCTTGTCAATTTCTTTACATATTCAAAAAAGAGATGGAAGAAGAAAAAAAACTTGCTCTTGTGCACTGATGTCATGTTGGAACAGGAAGGGGCCATCCCAAAACTGTTTCCACAAAGTTGGAAGCATGAAATTGTACAATTTCCTCTTACTGGAACTAAGGGGCCATGCCCAACCCAACTCGTCTATCGGATTGCCAGACAGAGAAGCGTGATTCGTCACTCCAGAGAGCGCGTCTCCACTGCCCTAGTGGCGGCGTGCTTTACACCAATGCATCGCTTCCACTTTGTTATAATACCACTAACAATTGACCGTGGAATATATTAGCCTTCGTCAATTTATCAGATAAATAATTCAGTGACAATAATAGCATCTTATCATAAAGATGACTTTGTAAGGGTTACCTTATACATTTTAGTCTTCACTCATCAGTCAGTGTATATGGCTGAGATATGAGGAGTGTGTGCAGCTGCATCTAATTAATAGTGTGAAAGTTTCTGACTAATAGAGCCTAAGCT